CACCTAAATGTGGATTTCATTTACTTCACTGCTATGTAGTATGTCTGAAGTATTTTGGCTGCTGCAGTCCAGGTTGATCTATTTATTTATTATTTTTTTTTTTTTAAGTTGTTTTTTTGTGGACTTTTTTTTAAGATAAAGTCGGTAAGCTGCGTGTGAGTTAGACAGTTCCCTTCTTAGCCTGGTTTAGTAAAGCTAACAGGATAAAACACTTGGTGGCAGTGTTGGCCCAAATAACTGCTCTAAAGCTGAAGTTAATCTTAGCAACCATTGGTGGGATGCCTTTACTTTGGGCTTTTTTATTGCTCAGCTGTTACCTCCAATCTAATTAAGTTTTTAAAAGGTTGTATTTTTTTTCTGATTGTCCTCCCCTAGTTGTGCCAATGGAGGAGGTTACTACCACTACTCTTATGCTGTAGTTCGAGGCTGTGACCGCATTGTGCCCGTGGACATTTATGTTCCAGGTAAGCCTTTTTCTAAATCATTTGGAGGTGTCTGACAGGTGGTATAGTAACTGCACAGCAGAACATGTTTATAGATATAGAGCTTTTAGTCTGTCGGATTTCAGCTGCCTGATAGAAATTAAAAATAAAAAAGCATGGAAATCATCTCTTCACAAACTGTTTGCTGCTCAGACTCATTTCAGATGCATGCAGAGATCTTGGAGATGAAAGTCAAAAAACAGTTTGTTTTAGGATGTACAATTAAAAAAGAAATTAGTTTAAGAGGTACATTATATAGTCTTTATAGTCCTATAGTGGATTCCTAGATTAACTAGGGTCAGATTTCGCCATCTGCTAAATTGACTTTACGGAACCTCTTTACAGGCTTTATGCTGGAAAGTTTGAATGACTATCAGTTTAATTTACTTTTAATACCAGATGTTTGATATTTTACTGCTTTCTAAGTTCATTTTTTGGTTTAATCTGGTGCTGGGAGCTTTTATTGGTTCTGCACTCCACAAAGCCCACAATGCAATGCAGCAAAGAGCCCTGCTCCTTTTAACTTTAAACCAAACATTCATCCATAACAAGAGTTGAACCAAATTTAATCCGTATTCAGTAGATTAGAATGTTTAGAAAACTTACTTTAGAACTTATACTTCAGTAAAGTAATTGAATCCATTAAGTCGAACACATTGTAAAGATTAATAACATAATCTGATGTTTTAAACCCTGATAATTTAATGCTTACAACCAATAAATACACATTTAATTAACCTTAAATATAAATAAAAGACCAATAAAATATACCTTTAATGCTAAATGTTGGCTTGGTGAAAATAATTATTTCTTATACCTAAATGAAGATTTTACAAAGCAGATGTTTTCATTTATTGAATATATCTTTAGTTTCAGTAGGTGATTAAAATCTGTGTCCTGAATTGAAGTGCTCAGTTTGTCACAAGCTGCAACTGGAAAACTTCAACCTTAGTAAAGTAATATTTAGATTTTATACATGTTATTTTATAGTTATGTAATATTTTAATAGATAATTCACATGCATATGCACCTTAATAAATAAGGTATATTTTATTATAGTTGAACAGTTATTCTAGTTCAGTAATCAAATAAAAAATATTAAACACATGTTTACATTCTCTGTGCTCTTTCAAGCATTTATCGATATGACTTTTGATCAGTTCCTCGTTCACCTTCATATTGATTGTTCATATTTTATTCACCGTTTCAGCATTTCTATACAGAAATAAAGCAATTCCATTAAAAAAAATATCTAATTGACTGTTCAGTCTTTGCAACCAATACTTAATACACTGGCTGCATCAGTGGTGTGTGGCAATAAGTTACCCAGCTCACTATAAGAACTGACCATATTCAAAAGGTTTTCTTTAAGGTCTATGATATCGTGGCCATTAAAGCAGGGTCTGAAATTGATTGAAAATCAAAGTTATTGAAATACATTTTTAGTTCATTAAATACAGAGAGATTGTTATGGAACATTCTTAATTTTGTCTGGAATCGAATGGAATCTAGTGCTTTTAAAACTTTATATAATTAAATATTAAATATTCTGAATAAAGTTAGAAAAATCCTTTATGGAGGATTCAGTTTCTACATTAGATGAAGGATAAATGTGTCTGCTTAATTATTTATTTAGTTTTAATCTTTCTGTCTTTCTTCAGACCCCATGAATTAAAATGATTGGCTCCTATCACCACTGGTTCTACCAGAGCAGTTGGTCTGGCTGATGGTTTGAATCTGTCTCTGAGGAACAGGCTGTTTTGACAATCTGCTAGTTTGACTGAACTCAAAATAACGTGTTTAACTTTAGATGGAGGGAAATTTTCTTATAGCAGCAATTCCTCAATATTCAGTCTTTAATGCATTGCTTTGAATGTAGGGCAACTGTAACCTTCCTGCTCCATTTACATTAATACCAGATTCTTGGTAAACATGGCAGCTATGAAAACCAGCAGGGCACTTATTTTCCTAATCGACTTGTCCTGTTAGTCATTTTGTGGTTTTCATACTTCATGGCTTCTTTATTTGTGCTCAGGTTGTCCTCCAACGGCAGAGGCTCTCCTCTACGGCACTTTGCAGCTGCAGAAGAAAATCAAGCGAGAGAAGAAGATTAAAATCTGGTACCGGAAGTGATTGTGTAGTATATATATATAAATATGTGTGTATGTAAAGGCAGTATTTCTGGTTTTATTTGGAGCACTGCTCTTCTTCCACAGAGCTGCAGAAACTTTAATAAAATGAGTTAGTTATTCAAGGCTGTTTAATCTGAGACAAAACAGCATCTGCTCAGTTTAGGTTTCTGGGTCTTTAAACCAGAGATTAACAGAATAAACAGTTAACTTAAGGGGGGATTAAGCTGCAATATGCACTCGGTTGTAAACAAAATAAGCGGTGAACCTCAGTATCCCTAAATGTCATTTCCAATAAAATTTGCTTCATACAAATGCAGAATTGTTGCTCCTTTTGTCATTATTGTGATCCTTGTTTTAAGAAGATGAACCTGAGCTACCAGATGTCATCTGAGATCAGCATAACATCCTTCATATTCACACAGATCCACAAAATGTGATGCTAAAAGTACAAAATGATGAACCACTGAAACACAATTCAAGGAATAAAGGAAAAAAATATAATCTAACTTTTCTTGATCTCACATTGGAGAAATTTACCTCTGCATTTAACCCATCCCCTTGGGGAGCAGTGAGCTGCCATTGTGCGGCGCCCGGGAAGTAGAGTGGGGTTAAGGGTCTTTCTTAGAGACCCAGTGGCTGTGGGAGTGGGACTCGAACTCAGAACCTCAGGATTTCAAGCCCTATGCCCTAACCACTCCCCAAACAGTTTGTATTTACCTTAATGCATCAGTTAAATATATAAGTACCATATTTTCTGGACTATAAGCCTTTTCACGCTTTGGACCATGCGGCTTATAAGAAGGTGCAGCTTTTCTGTGGATTTTTACTACCAAAGGGGGAAGTCAAATTTAGAAATGGAAGAATAAGGGACTAATTTTCATTTAGCACAAAAACATGCTAGCAGCAGGCATGATGCAGAACAAATGTCCTGAATTCACACATTTTAACATTTATTTGCTGCATTAAAGCTGCTGAACCATTGATGAAACTGGGCTAAACTCCTGACAAGCTGAAAAAAGAGATGATAAAGCTCCATCTTTCAGCAGAGGCTCTCACTGCTGCAAGCCAACAAGCTAACAGGAGCTAGCATTCTTCTCCAGGGGCTATATGTAGAGCTCCCGCTACAGGTTTGGCGGGAGACAGTTCAGAAGTTACCAGCAGCTTATAGCTCAGTGTGGTTTATATGTATATTTCCAGTTTTTTCAAAAAATTTAGTGGGTGCGGCTTATAGTGAGTTACGCTAAAGAAAATACGGTAGATTATTCATGTGAAAATCTCTGTTACAACAACATATTTGAGTATTGATTTAGTATATGGTTTATGTACTGCTGTATCCACAGTGGTCATTTAAACTTTAGATGATATCTTAATTGTTTGGTTAGTTAAACTAAATGAAGCTGCAGGTAAATCACATTGACCAGTGATAGACCCTGAAATATTTACTGGAACAATTAGCTGAGCATTCACAACATAAAATCCAATATATTTAATTACCAAAATCACTGAAGTTAGATCAAGAAGGTTTAAATGCCCACAAAACCAGAAAATTTCCTTTTGAAGGTCAGATTTATAGAGAATATTTCTGTTTTTTGCTACAAAATAAGTGAGCACTTCTAATTGGAGATTTTTTCCTGCTTATTGTTTATATAGTAAAAATCCAAATTTTATAAATTATAAATGACCTTCATTTGTTATCAAGTTTCTTCCCACATGATTAGATGGTGGTTAGCTACAGCTTCCTGGAGCAACATGACAGAAGACGAGCTGCCTTAGAGTCAGCGGCGCCAACACCAGGAAAGGTGGTTGAAGAGTCTTCCTGAAGGATGCAAATAAGACATGAAGCTGGGATTTGAACCAGCAACCAGAGCTGGATTGACTGTTGGGCATTCAGATGGATCAACACTCATTTTCACACTGGCAAGAGGCTGTCAGATGTTATGATCAGTTAGTCAATATTTAAGTGGCCTTTTACCCAATTGGTTTTATTTTATGCTTGTTTCATTTCTTCTAATCTACAGTTTTGAAACCACTCAACGTTCACATAATTCCTCTGGTTTTCTAAGTGTGTCACCCTTAAAATATAACTAATCATGGTGGGCCACCAAAAATGCCTGAGTAATTTTTAGAGCCCAGTACAGCCCTCCTGTAAACGGGATGGATTTCCCTCTTATTGCAAGCAAACTAGTTAACTTCAGACTTTAAATATAAGAATGTTTTGAAAAACATAACTGGCATTTAGTGAACGGCAGGAAAGAGAAAAATAATGTCAGTGAAGATTAATATTCCTTTAAACGTACTCTTAGCTCCATTGCTTTTTGTTTTGATTAATGACTGACACGTAGCAATGATTGAACTGTTGCTCTTTAGATTTTTTAACTTGACTTGTATGGAAGTCAAGTTAAAAATGAAAATAATTTGCAGGGTTTAGCTTTTTCAGCCACAACTGTTGCTTTGCATCCTTAATCATTTTAAAGGTAAAATGGGCCAAAACCAATATGAATACATGCAAGTAATCTATATTTTTGTGTAACTGATAACCTGCACATGTAAAAAAAAAAAAAGCTCAAATAAATGTTGCATAATTTGATGCAACACAAGTGTGAACATGCAAAGGTTTATGCATTTGGAGAGTGTTTGAGAAACTCATTTAGTTTGTCTGTGCTGGCTGCACTTTTCCTTGTTTTGCTGCAAACAGTTATGCTAAGGAAAATAAGCTCCTATAACTGGACAGAATTTAATTTGCCTGTTAAATCAATATTAATGCATCAGTACTTAATTAGCCATGTGTTCAACTCGCTGCATTTCATAGCAGGCTAATATAGTTTAACATCAATCAGTTAAAGATGCTGTTTAACATGAGCACAACTTTAAAAAAACAGGTTTTAGTCCTAGTCCTTCAGTAGTACAATGGCTGTTTTAATGATACAGAAAATAAGAAACAAAGCATAATCTGTAGAATGCAAGTAGCTACTTTAAAAATATATATAAATAAAATTCATTTTTTTTTTGGTTCGGATTTTTTTCTTTTTAAATGCAGATATAAATTCTCTGCAGGTAGACAATTAATGTAAACATAGCTTTGTTTTAGTTTTTTTCCTTTCTTGCCCTGTTGTATTACCAGGAATGATCATGCAGTAAATTCTTGATTCAGATCTTTGATCCACCAGCAGCTGCTTTCCCACCTGAGCTCAGCCTGTTGTTGCATCATCCATCCGTCTAATGATTAATGGTTCCTCACCAGGTGGTTACTTGTTCCTACGTGTTCATTCTTTTATCTCCTCCTCAACTTATCTCCAACCATAAACTGAGACACACGTACTGTACTCTGTCTGTCTCTGCCAGCAGTAACAGACTTTTTTCTCAAGTGGCTATATTTAAACGCATGCAGTAGTATGCATGCCTGTCTATTGTACTTATAAACTCCATGTTTTGCTGAAGACATGAATGGCTGCATTATTATGAGGTGGAAAGAAGATGCAGTCCCCCTGACTGAATACTTATTAGTTGGATTTACAGCTGCAGGTTTTTCACTGTATGCCTCTTAGAGCTTTTTTGTATCTGCAGAATTAATGTTTTTCTCATTCTAAGCCGTGAAATGGCCCAAGATCAATCAGAATGGTTGGAGATTGACGGTGAAAATCATTTCAGAAAACTTGCTAAATATTTGACTATTTTCTGTGTTGCAAATTGACCTTTGCCCCTGACTCAACTCCAGTTCAGCTTCTGATTTAACTTTCCATCAACTCTGAGTAGAGTCCTTAACTTTGCTAAAAAGGATAATTCTTCCCCATCACACCATGTGCCATAATGACGAGGTTTTCAGAGTAAAGTGCTGCTTGTTTTCCTTTAAGCTAGCATTCTGCTGTACTTGTATCAGCATGAATACAAGTTCTTTTTCCTTATCTGGTGACTTTTGAATGTCCTTGGTTGTGCTGGAATTTTTGCAGATGTTGCCCAGGTCTAATCCTGAAGAGGTACCGACCTGCAACTGTTACATGATCCCTTCTCCAGCTCACCTGAATTAGAAAAAGGGCTTGTTACCTGCCCACCACAGAGCTGAGTGCTGAGGAGGGAAGTATCCAACCCCAAATGAGCAGTTGCATTATTAACATAGATCAGATATATTCTTTAGTCTTATGCTTATTGGTAAGTTTTAGTTTTAAATATATCAAACCGATACTTTATTTGCATAAATATATTCATATCACCTTTATTATAACATCTTTTCAGATCTTTAAGTAAATTGTTAGCATAATTTTCGGAATCATTTCTCATTTCTGCTTAATCTGGACTATATACTTAAAAGAAATGAGAATTTCAATTAGCTTTGTCCCATGTATAAATTCACGTTGAATGCATTAAGATGACCTAGTTATAGAGGTCACAGACAAAACCTCATTTAAATGTTTCAGGAAAACTCCTTTATAAATTCTCTCATATTATAAACAACGTTGTGAACTTTTAAAACCATTTCCAAGATACCAATCCTGGGAAACTTTTTAACTATGCCAGCATTTTTTCCTAGCTATAAATAATATATATAACTGAACATAAATAACATGAGTCTGCAATCGAGAGAACATCTTTGACTACAAATTGCAACAAAGCAATTTTTCTTTTTTACCATACTGTGAGTAATTATTTTAAAGTGTGGACTTTAATGAGATGCATTCACAGCAGGAAGCCTGCTGGGGTATAGAAGACCTCTAACGGGGAAGCGTGGTCTGAGCAAGATCTTAAAGGTTTTTCTTGGTGGACTTTTGCAGGTTATAATCAAGCGAGTAAAACCAGTCAAATGATATTCTGAAAGAATAAAAATCCAATAGTAGATTTCTCAATAAAACACAATAAGATAAAGTTTAGTCCTGATAGAGGTTGTTTTATTAAAACACTGTAGATTGAAATACACATAATGAGTGTCATGGGAAAAAAGGCACACAGGAATATAAAAAGGCTGCAACAGGGTCTTCGTCATTTATCCTTTCACAATAGTGGGAGTGATCATCTTCTTGAAGGAGTAGTATTTGCATTCAGTGGGCGGGTCAATGTCCATGGTGGCAGTGGCAATCTTCTCCTTCTTGAATCCGGCCTCGAGCAGATGAGGCACCTGAGTTTCCTGAAAATCATTAACACACAGAGAGGCGGTTAGTGTGCAAAAGCTTTCAGGTTTATCAGTAGCTACAAATGAAAACGGCACGTAACTCAGACTCACTCCTGTTCTATCTGCATGTGCTGCTTGTCTCTTTTTGTGATAGTTGTTACATAACCACATCATCCAGGTCTGCTCTGCATGGTTTTAAAGTATGCAGTGTA